GGCTATCCCCTTCCCCTGCCAGCACTGTCTACTTTTTTGGCTCCTTAGATTCTTGCAGGATCCAACCAGATTATGGCCAGCATGGATCACCACATATAAGGACTGCAGATGTGGTTTGTTTGGTTTATCTTTGCAGCCAGATTATAGTGTTTAGCTCAGCTTTGGCAGAGTCCCAAAAGCCTACAGGTAATCTTTTTCAGCCTGTCACCTCACACTGGGTCCATGGTCATTAGGTATTTTCCGTGTCTCTTTGACCAAGAATGCTGCGTAGCTTAAGCTCCAGGCACCCTTCTTTCACTACATCTTGTTAAAGGCTGAAAGTTGTTTTATGTCTCTGGGACAGTCAGTAAGAAACTCCCAAGCAGTGTAAGACTCAACCAGAATTAAAACCACACTATGTTTAGAAGAGAGAAGAAAACATGCTAACACAAAAACAGCAGCCTGCATGACCCATGTGTCTTTGTATTCACTAAGCTTTAACTTAAGAGATCCACCTCTTAAGTTAGTTACATGAGAGAAATGAAGTTTGACACTCCCAATGAATACATTCTCCTTTCTCCCCTCTAACCACTCATCCAATCAGCCACTCAGAGACTCCCTGTCTTGTTTCCTTATTTTCTTTTATCTAAATCAGAACCCTCAGGATGCTTTCAGGGTTTTTTTTTTTTTAATGCCTTGCTTATCTCACTCAGCTGGTGTTCCTTTTATCAGTGCCTCGCATGTCCAGGCTATTGTCTGTATCACCTATCAAGTTAGAACTGTATTTCTCACATTAAATAAACAATGAGCAGTCCTGTGGCACCTTAGGGCTTGTCTACACTAGGGAGTTATTTCAAAATAACAAGTGGAGCATCCACACTATCAAGCCCATTATTTCGAAATAAGGGGCTGGTTATTTTGAAATAGTGCTTCCTGAGGCTCTAAGTCAAGGTAGTACTTCCACATTAAGGTAGCCTGTCTTGGACTAATTTCGAGGCTCCCCTATAGTGTGAACATGCTATTTCAAAATTATTATTTTGGGAGTTATTATTGTGAAATAAGTTATTTTGATGTAATTTTCTAGTGTTATTTTGATGTAATGCCCCTAGGTACTTGCAAATATATTATATTATAAGCTTTCACAGGTAAAACCCACTTCATCAAATGAGTTGGAGCAGAAATTACAGAATCAAGGGTATATATAACAGCAAAAGATAAACAATCACAATTACTGGTTTTACTGTTCTTTTTTCACATCTTATTACTCTACTGGTTTATTCCCCACTGCAATGGCTGCCTTGTCTCTCGTCTATCTTCACTACCGAGCTTTCATTGTCCAAGCTAGAAGTGTTAGGCTGGATCAAGTTTGGTCTGTCCCTATGCTCTTACAAAGGCCTGGTCTACACCTAAAACTCAGGCTGAAGTAAGTAGGTCACTTAAAGGTGTGAAAAAATAACACCCCCTGAGAAACAGTTAAACCAGGGCTACTCAATTTTGGAAGCTCTGGGGGCCATAATGATACTCACAGCACATGCCGAGGGCTGCAACTTAAGTGAGGTTGCATATACAGGCAAATATATGCAAATAGCTTATTTCACACTGACGGGCATGAATACAAAGATTAAGGCAAGACTATACAACATGCAGACCCCATTTAAGTCAGTTCTGTTGATACTAATAAAAGGCAATATTTACCCAATTTCTACCCATATGACAGAACTTTTAATGAGCAATGACAATCCAGGAATGTAACTACTAAAACACATGTCAAAAGAAAACCATTATATTGACTCACCATTGTGGATCATGTTCCCAGAAGAAGCCATGTTCAAAGGATCCCACCTGTGGGCCACATGTTGAGCCCCATGGAAACCCAAACCGCTCCATGGGCCACAAATAAATGGGCTGCAAGCCACATGTTGAGTAGCCCTGAGTTAAACCAACCTATGACCTGGTGTAGTTACTGCTAGGTAGATGGAAGAGCTCTTCCAGCTGCTGTTTCTCAAGGGTGGATTTACTAGCGCAGTGGAAAACCCCTCCTGTCACTGTAGCAAGTGTCTATGCTACCGTGGTGTAGCTGCAGCTGTGTTGCTGTTGTGCTTGTAGTGTGTTCATGCATTTAGGCCAGGTCTCCAGTAGAAAATTAGCTCAGCGCTAATGAGTGACCTGGTTAAGCCAATCTAACTAGGGTTGCCAGGTATCCGGTATTGACCCAGACAGTCCGGTATTTTCATCTCCTGTCCGGTTTTAAAAAACAGAAAATACCGGATACCTAAAATGTCCAGTATTTTCTGGTTTTCCCTTGGCCAGGAGGCGAAAATACCAGGTGCTTACCTGGTTCCGCAGGGAACCTGTCTGGCCCAGAGCAGGAAAACAAGATGGCAGACGGCCTCCAGCAGTCTGTTAGGGCCAAAAAGCCTCAAAAGCATTTCTTAAAGGGGCCACGCTGGATTTTTTAAATGTATTTATTTTTGCTCAACAACTTTGGTCTCCCCCTTTTTTTTTCCCCGATTTTTTTTTTTTGGCGGGGGGGGGGAGGGAGGAGGAGAGTGTTCGGTATTTTTGGTTAAACCATCTGGCAATCCTAGATCTAACCCCTGCATAGATAGCGCTAGGTCAATAGAATAATTATTCCATGGACTGAGTACTGTCCTTTTACTACAGTGATGGGAGATCACCTCCTGTTGCTGCAGTGAGTGTCTACACTGAAGTGATACAGCAGAGTAGCTGCAGCATTTCTAAGGAAGACATAGTCAGTGTATCAGGCAGGAATAACTGCACTGAAGTCAGTGGACAAAACTTGAGTAAGTGAGAGGAGAATCAGGCCTAAAGGATTTCATATATTCACTTTCAGTATTCATTTTATCAAGAATTTCTCTAAGTGTAACACATGAAGTATGAACAGAATAGCTGATCTTTCACACAGTCTGTTTATTGTAATTTAGATGATAGACACTATCACAAGAACTGTTATCCAATAGGCCATTAACAATATTATCCTACTAATCCAAAGTCTGTTTGGAAAACTTCAGGTAGAATATTAAAGACTATTTCATAAGCCTAATAAAGCAATTAGGGCTATATTCTGGCTTGGAATATATAGGCTCAGCTTTTATTGATGTGAAGCAAAAGCCTATCCTCTTACCATAAGCCAGACCCCTACACATTGCTGAATGCTGCCTCTAATGTCTCAACCTTCATTAAGTCAAGCTACAGGGCTTGATCCTGACCTTTCTCACATTAATATAACTCCATTGACTTCAGTGAATGTATTCTTGAAATGTATCATCAGTGAGACACAGAATCAGGTCTACAGAGCCAGATTCGCTCAAGTGAAGTCAGTGGCATTACATCAGGTCTTTACTTGGCCCATGCACAGAACAGAACATAAATGAACAATACATACAATGAAAAACATCGGTACAAGAAACCATTCTTACTAACAATTTTAAAATCCTCTAGGTGTGTTTTGTATCTACATTGATTCTGCAAACTAAACTTTTACAGGAAAAACTTAAAAAATGAAGAATAGTCTAGTAGCACCTTATAGACTAACAAAACATGTAGATGGTATCATGAGCTTTTGTGGGCAAAACCCACTTCTTCAGATGACCAGAAGTGGGTTTTGCTCAGGAAAGCTCATGATACCATCTACATATCTTGTTAGTCTTTAAGGTGCTGCTAGACTATTTGTTGTTTTTTTAAGTGTTTCTTGTTACAGACTAACTCGGCGACTCCTCTGAAGCTTTTAATCTTTTTCAGTTAGTGAAATCACAAAGTCGGACAACTGTCTCATGATTTTCACATCATGGAATACAACTGTTAAGTTGATAGTAGACAGACAATTTCTGCCATTTATTCCATGTTTCTGTAGTGAGCACCTAGCCATTCTGACCTTCCCAGCCCAATAGCCCCTGTTAGTTCTTTATCATCAAGAGATTATTTGGGCAATTAAATAACAGTTTATTTAAATAAATAAACCCAGGTGCAGTGGGCCAGCAGAAGTCCCATGCACCCCTTATGTTCCTGTAGTCTCAGCTCTTCAATAAGACTTAGCTAATGCATACGTCTCCTCTGGCCCTTTGTACAGGTGTGATTATCACCCTTAGCTTCAACAGTGTGAGCTGAACATGTGCCATACTGATAGTGCAGATGCTTCTTCACTTAAGGTCTAGTCCTAGGTGTTAGCTTAGAAAATCATCTTAAGCAGAGTGCCAGTGAAAGGCAGTAAAAAATGGCCCAGACTTCAAGTATTTTTCATAGCGTTGGCCTGACCCTACAAGGGGAGGAGAGATTGTCATGTGCTTAAGGCACAGGACAGAAAGCCAAGAAAACCTGGCTCAGTGACAACCCTCCCATATGACCCTGTGCCTGCAATTCCATTTCTCTTAATGGGAGATAATAATAGTTTCCTACCTCACAAGCATAGTTCATCTATGAGGCCCCAAGATACAGTGAGGAGCAGTACTGAAATGCTTGTAAAGCAAATTGATTTCAGTTTAAAGGAATTCACTGTGCTTAGCACACTGCAGCTTCAGTTCCTTTTAGACAGGAATACTCTAATAGTAAATAAGGACTCCGTGCTGTGGTCTTACAGAGGTACACTTCTCATTGGTTTGATTGGAAGATTTGCCCTGTCAGGATTCCAGTGTGGTCAGTCAGGGCCAAGAGTCAGTCAGGCAAATTCAGGGCTGGGAGCAGCAGGGGGAGTTCATAGTCAGGACCAGGCCAAAGTCAAAATCTGAGTCAGTCCATGAGTCCAAATCATGCTGAGGTCAAGCCAGGATTTCAAAAGCAAGAATCAGACCAATCATAGCAGCCATGGAAGAAGGCTGTTGCCTAAACATTGCCTGGAACACCCCTTGGATTGATTTAGGTCAGGGAGCCAATCAGGAGCTATAGGACTGTAGTCTGTCAAGGTTAAACATTCCGGCTGCATATAGACTAGCAAGTTTTTCTGCAAAAGCGGTTGCTTTTGTGGAAAACCTTACCAGCTGTCTACACTGGCTGCTTGATTTTGTGCAAAAGCACTGACGTTCTACTGTCCGAAATCAGTGCTTCTTGCGCAAATGCTTTGACGTTCCCGTTCGGGCAAAAGCCCTTTTCCGGAAATGCTTTTGCGCAAAAGGGCCAGTGTAGACAGCTGAAAACTGTTTTGCACAAAAAAGCCCCGATGGAGAAAATGGTGATCGGGGCTTTCTTGCACAAAACCGCATCTAGATTGGCATGGACGCTTTTCTGCAAAAAGTGCTTTTGTGGAAAAGCGTCCGTGCCAATCTAGATGCTCTTTTCTGCAAATGCTTTTAACGGAAAAACTTTTCTGTTAAAAGCATTTGCGGACAATCATGCCAGTCTAGATGTAGCTTCCATGTTCTGGGTCCCCCATGAAGCACAGGTTAGTTACAGTTGCTGGGGAGGGAGGTGGTCTGGAGTAGCTAGCTGGTTAGTAATTGTACAAAACGGGGTTCTAGACCTCGGAGGGCCTTTAATGTATGTGCAATGAGAGAGGATTAGATCCGCTCTCTACATTTCTGGACTTATAGCTGATGACGGATTTTGAAAACATTGACTTATAAGGACCATAAACACAATTTTAATGAATCATAAATGTTCTGAAATAATAATAATCTACTTGTATATAGCACTACTTGAAGATCTTCGGTCTGGATTCATCAAGATGTTTTTGTGTTTGCTATTTTGCCAGTGAAATTTTCTAGTGCCAGTAAAAGGAAATTTAAATACTGTCAGTAACTGGTGAAGGAGAAGATCATTTTCCAGGTCTGTTCCCATGCCCAGTTGAGATTTCTGTTAATTGTATTTCTAACTAGACTTCATGTGTGTTTTCTATAGGTGGATAAGTGGGGCTGCTGTCGTCAATGCCTTTTATTCTGCAAGCAGGAACCAGATAGGTAAGATTTGCTAGCACACTGAAGGTACAAGTTTTAAAAGCCTGGTTATTAGTTTTTATACCCTGAAAGTGAAATGCACCCAGTAACATATGGACTGAAAAAGGCCCTCAATGTGGCAGAACCATGGAGGTTTCATTATTTGGGGAGTAGGTGATAGTGACGCTCTCACATGCAGATGAGGATTCCACATCTTCTCTGCATGAAAGAACTGGAAAATGAGCAAGCTCTGCATAGGTCAGCAAGGAAGAGAGCTTGGACTTTAGCTGTGGCAAGGAAAGAAGTGTGGTGTGTGAGTCAAAGATTACATGCCACAAATCTTGCCTTAGGGGAGGCACAGGAGTTGCCATAACAGAGGGACAGTAGCTTGAGCTGGCCAGAGTTCTGTCTGTAGGGGTGCATTCTGTTCCTCACAACTCCTCCATAGCTCCATCACACAAAACCAATTTACTCTGCCTTTGTTTGGGACAGAGTATTTCTCCCAGATGAATAATGCAAGTATGGACTTACTGAATGGAGTCCTTACAGTCCCTTAACAACTCTCTTTGGGTGTGTCTAAACTACGTGGCTCCGTCGATGGAACCATGTAGATTAGGCTGATCAGCGGAGGGAAATGAAGCCACGATTTAAATAATCGCGGCTTCATTTAAATGTAAATGGCTGCAGCGCTAAGCCGACAAACAGCTGATCAGCTGTTTGTCAGCTCAGCGGGCTAGTCTGGAGGCTCCCGTGCCGACCTGAAAGCCCTTTATCGACCTCCCCATTATGCCTCGTAGGATGAGATTTACCGGGGAGGTCGATAAAAGGCTTTCATGTCGACAGGGGAGCATCCAGACTGCCCCGATCTGCCGACAAACAGCTGATCGGCAGAGCAGGGCAGCCATTTAAATTTAAATGAAGCCGCGATTATTTAAATCATGGCTTCATTTCCCTTTGCCGAACAAACAAATCTACATGGCTCCATCGACAGAGCCATGTAGTCTAGACGTACCCTTTATGTCCTCATTATGGGGCATAAATCTCCAACCCTTATGCTCATGGAGAGGTATCCTCTCCTGGGACTATTCTCTTCTAATCAACAGGGATACTCTGAGAGAAATATCCTTTTGGCAAGATAACAGAATGCAGTCCTATGTTAAATCATCTTGAAATATGAGTATAGCTCACTGTAGCCTGTAAGAAGATCTGTTTACACTGGAATAGGCTCAAGAGACATGTGTCATTATTTTACCTTAAACCTGAATTCATAATGCACATTCTCTAAAGTACGGCTCTTTAAAATCTTGTTCAATCTAAGGGCTCGTTGGTTCCTGTTTTTGTTAAACATGTGTCATCTGTCAGATGACCCAAAGCTCCTGGTTTGTCACAGGTTTCATCTTTCTTTAATTCTGGTTTCTTTTGTACTGGGGGAAAAAACAAACAAAAATATCAACCTGGCAGATTAAACCCAGTACAAAAACAACTTAAAGAAGAGAAAAAGACACAGTAATAATCAGAGAGCTTTAGTAACACTTTGGGGTATAGCTACAAACCATGCAGTGTCTGTCTATCAAGCCCTGCCATGGGTATACATAATTTCAAAATAGAAGAGAAACAATAAAAAGATGACAAAATTATTTTTAAATATGGAAAAATAGCCTATGATTGAAGAAAAATAGTGTATGGCTGATAATATAGTAATAGTGAGAAAACCTTCGAGCTCCTACCCCCCATAGAACAACAACATACTTGGCACCAATGCAGACGCTTTCATCCAGAGATCTCAAAGCTCTTTACAAACATTAATCTCAGAGAGGTAGTCATGTTAGTCTGTAACTTTAAAAAAACTTTAAAAACGAGTGGCTCCCTAGCACCTTAGAGACTAATAATATATATATAATATCAGGAGCTTTCATAAGCACAGTCCACTTCTTCAGATGAGTGGAGCATATTTACAAACATTAGTTATTCTTCACAATATGCCTATATCATAGGTGCAGTAAGTATTATTATACTTATTTTATAGAAATTTAGAAACATTGAAGTACAGGAAGTTGAAGGGCTTTCCCTCCGCCACCCAGGATACGTCTTCACTGGAACACTATTTCGGGATACCGGAGTATTCCAAGTATCAGAGGGGTAGCCGTGTTAGTCTGAATCTGCAAGAACAACAAGAAGTCCTGTGGCACCTTATAGGCTAACAGATTTATTGGAGTATAAGCTTTCGTGGGCAAAGATCCACTTCGTCAAATGCATGTCTGACGAAGTGGGTCTTTGCCCACGAAAGCTTATGCTTCAATAAATCTATTAGTCTATAAGGTGCCACAGGACTTCTCGTTCTCGGAGTATCCCAAAATAGCTATCCCGTCTCTTCACAGCATGCCTGTTTTTTCGGGCTCACTATTCCAATGTCCCTGTAAACCTCATTCTATGCAGAGTAAGGGATATTTCAGAATAGTGCTTTATTTTGAAATTTGGCACTGTGTAAACAGCACCAAATGACAAAATAAGCTATTTCGAAATAGCATTGAAATAAGACTCGCAATTTGCAAACCTCAAATTGCATATCTTAGTTTGAGTTACGGAGCTCCAGAGATGAGTGGCAATATCAGAACTTCAAATCCCAGCCCTACTGGTGTGCCCTTACTTTTATGTATTGGTTTAATTCACACTTGGAAGATCTTGGGGCACAGAATCTGCTCCATTCTGCTCCCTTTACACTATTCAGGAAATTATTCATAAGGCCCCTGCTGGAGTTTCCTCCAGCAAGGAAAAAGCTGCAGTAGGTGCAGAGCAGATGTAGCCAGCATTTCTGCCTCCTTCCACAACCCCTCGTGCAAGAGGGCTAGGGCACGTCAGCACCAATGAGGATGAGGAAGAAGACTGGGATGGGTGGGGCATTCTGGAAGTCTTAGGCAGCAAGTTAGAACATCCCCAGCCTGTATTGAAGTTGTGGAGAAACTAACTATCACCCTAATAATGCCTTCACCCTGCTTTGCCTAGGTGGGTGCAGAAGAGGGCCTGGACCCTTGTGTCTATTTCAATACAAGTGCCTGTTATTTCTGCTTTTTTCATCTTGGTGCCCCTGTGCAGTACCTTGCTTCATATGGGACACCACAACATAAGAACTCAAGAATAGCCATACTGAGTCAGACCAATGGTCTATCTAGCCCAGTATCCCGTTTTCCAACAGTGGCCAATGCCAAGTGCCCATGAAGGAAAGAGCAGAACAGGGAATCATGAAATGATCCATTTCCTGTTGCCCATTCCCAGCTTCTAACAAACAGAGGCTAGGGACACCCATCCCTACCCATCCTGGATAATAGCCAGGGCTCGCCGAACCATGGTGAGCCCCGCTTGCCAGCCACGCTGTCCGACGATCTGCACATGCGCAGATCGCCTGAACCCAGCTCTTCTGGGTTACAATCTACTTGCCACGAGCGAGTAGATTGTATTATTTGTCGAGCCCTGATAATAGCTCTGTGAATTTATCTAGCTCTCTTTTGAACACTGTTAAAGCCCTTGTCTTCACAATATCCTCTGTCAAGGAGTTCCACGGGCTGACTCTGCCCGTGTGAAGAAATATTTCCTTTTGTTTGTTTTAAACCTGCTACCTATTCAAACACTTCCATTTTAAAATATCTAGGTGAGGCTCATCAGGGGATAAATTTTCTGTTCATATTCAAAAACAAATTGCTTTTGTAGCACATCCTGCTACCCAAGCACAGTGGTGCTCAATAAGGGGTATGCATACCCAAGGGGGTATGCAGATGTCTTCTGGGGGCCCGTCAACTCCTCTAGCTATTTTCTTAGTTTTACAACAGCCTACATAAAAAGCACTAGTGACGTTAGTACAAACTGCTTTATAGTCTATTTACTGAAGTGTAATTACAATATTTGATTAGATGGATTGTGCTAAATATTTGCATGAAGATTTGAAACTATGCCATACTCACCAGTTTTCAGGTTTCATCCCACACTTGAAACTCAGATAATGTTTGCTCGCAAGTATTTCCAGTTAATCTCAGTGAATTTTTGTCTTTAAATTGAAATCGTGAAATTTGCAGTTTTGCACTGCATCAAGTGAGTGCCCCTTTGCCATAGTAGAGTTTTTTCAACATGAAATGAGGAGGGATAGAGTTCAAACCACACAGATTGAAACCAACTATGCATGCTCACCCAAATGTAAACAAAGCAAAAGTGCCACACACTAATTATCTATCACTAGAAATCAGAGTTCAAACAAACAGAAAGCAATGGGCAATATGCAATAACCACAGTAAGGGCCTAACACAGACAAAACTCCATGGACTCCACTGACCAGTTGTGCTTGGGTAAGGCTGCAGAATAAGGCCAGTGGTGTTGAGGTCAAATAAATATTTTGAAAGTATCTTTCAACATGCAGTATAAAATTCTACTCACACAGCTTTGTTTAAAATAGCTTTTGCTTAGTAATCAGTGGAACAGGAGTCATGGTTTGGATGACTGACACTAAATATGAGCCATAGATTCTTATCTCATCCTTGAGCGATGTCATGCACTTTATATTTAAAGCAGCATGATCTTTAAAGTTGATAGCTTAGTAACATTTAAGGAGATTTCTTCTAAAGCAGAGTTTTCCACACCATGCTTAGAGAATTTAGGGCTCTGTTCTGGAGCTTCAGTACAGCCAAGGGCTGGGGTGGTATGGTTCTACATAGTCCCAGAAAGACTTCTGGAAGGCACTCTGCCTTAAAGAGAATTTTCCCTAAGCCAGCAATGAGCAACCCAGACTGGTGAGTGGGCCACATGATTCCAGTGGTGGGCAACCTGCAGCCTCTGTCACTTTTCCCCCATGTGGCCACGGAGGAACTGGAGTCTCACACTTCCTACTCCTCCCCAGCACTTTTGGAGCACCATGCAGCTGCTGGCTGCCCACAGCCTAAACTGTTGGCTGTGGAGGAGACTGCTGGGAATAGCTCACTGCTACGGCCCTTCAGGAGGCACACCACAGAACCCTTTCTGTTGATGGGTATATGGGAAAAAGAAGGTGAAACTAGAGTTACCCGAGGCCCTATTGAAATCCAGATTTTGTTATCTAAAAGGAGTCATTGAATCGGTGACTCTGATAAGAAAATGTGTAAAAATCCATTTTAGCATGAGTGTGGATGGGGTGTCAGATGGGTAAACAAACTGAACTAATAGTCCTGGAGGCAGAAAAGTTAAGTCCCAGGCTGTCCAGGAATCTGACAGAGCATGAACTCAGTAAGGGTATGTCTACACTACCACCCTAGTTCGAACTAGGGTGGTAGTGTAGACATACCCTAACAGAATAAGAACGAAACCAACCGTGAGAAGTTTGCATGGGTCTTCCTTCATCCAGCCCCAGTATATACATGGGATTTTAGAAAAAGAGGATCTTTTTATGGTTCACATGGTGGAGGAGGGCTGAGACTCATGTGATGTGGGTTCCATTCCTGGTCCTGTCCAAGCGAGGGCTTTACAGGTGCCACTCTCTAGTCATCGATGCTGTTATGTATGGATTTGAGCAAACATCTTGAGAGTAGCCTCCTCTGGCTGTTATCCAGACCATTGGGGAGCTATGTCATCCTTGCCCCACAATATGGGGTGCCTACCAGTGCTTGCATGTTATAGCTTCCAACCTGGACTGTTCACAAATAGCTTTCCAGGGTGCAGATCACTCCAAGATACATTCGTGTAACTGCAGCCTGACATTCTCACCAGCTATCATTGTACTACACGGGTGACCCTGACATACTCCCCATCTCAGGTTTTTCCCTAGAAATGTGTGTCTTGTAATGCCCAGCTAGACAGGCCAAATATATTAAGCCACTTATTCCTTTAAAGCAATAAAATACAACAAGTTGCCACCTTAATGGAATTACCTGGACACTTCAACACATCGGAAAAAACAATAAAACAAGTTTATTAATGCAAAGAGATGGATTTTAAATTAGTTCAAGTGAGGAAGCATAAGAATTAGAAAAGGTTAAAATAAAACTAAAGATAAAAGACTGTCAAGGGCCTAACTTAACAATCTATATTAGATCCAAGCAAAGTTTCTCACCACTTGCTGCCAGCAATATTACTGACCAACATCTAGGTCAGGATCCCACAGGTACAATGAGTGAGATGGACAGAGAGAGAGAAGAGAGATGTGCTTTGGGGGTCTTTGCCTCTCCTTTTATAGTTTGAGTCCCCCTCTTGAAAAGCATTTCTAGCTGAAACCCAAGAAACAAAGAGTCTGTCTGTAAGGATGTTCTCTGCTGGGGGGTTTTCATCTGCATATGCTCACATGAACGTTTCCTTTTGTTTCTCCCTTTTTGCTAGATGACTCTGTTTACAGGTTAAATGCAAACTAAGGTAAACAGACACTCCTTTGTTCAAGACAAGTCAGTTTGATGCTATGTGACTCTGAACATGTATTTTAATATCATGAAGGGGGAAATTTATAACTTTACACATAATGCTGTTGCACACATTTTTACCATATTTCTGATCAGCAAGTTATGAGTTTTCAGATGACACCTCACAAGGCATGCCTTGTACAAATATTATTACAGTAGTGTATAGGCTGTGAATAGAGGTGTGCATTCTGTCACATGTCTCCATAGGAATACAATCAGCTGATGCTTTGTTTGATATTGTCCAGTTTTGCCAATAGTTGCCACAAAGTTGCTGCTGTGTCAATAGTTTGGCTGCGTCTAGACTGGCAAGATTTTGCCGCCTGTCTACACTGGCCGCGAGTATTTGCACAAGAACACTGACTTTGTACTGTACAAAATCAGTGGTTCTTGCGCAAATACTCTGACGCTCCCACTCAGGGATAAGCCTTCTTGCGCAAGAGGGCCAGTGTAGACAGCCAAGTTAATTTCTTGCGCAAGAAAGCCCGATGGCTAAAATGGCCATCAGAGCTTTCTTGCGCAAGAGAGCGTCTACACTGGCACGGATGCTTTTGTGCAAAAGCATCCGTTCCAGTATTGACGCTCTCTTGCACAAATACTTTTAACGGAAAAACTTTTCAGTTAAAAGTATTTGCACAAAATCATGCCAGTCTAGATGCAGCCTTTGCCATTTCTATTGCATTTCCTGAAAATATTTAATATCAAAGCCTTTGGACATTATTTCTATAAGAAAAATTAAGGTGATATATCAATTTGCTAATTATTCATAGTAAGCAGCATTAATCGACATATACTGTGTTTTTTTTATTTTGCCTTTTTAATATTTTCTAATTCCTCCTCCCTGATCTGGAGGAAGAAAGTGAACCAATCTAGGATTTATAGCAAAATACTGAATGAGTCTGTTTTCTCTATTCTCCCTGTGGAAAAGTTGTCTACTAATTCCCCACTCCTGTTATACTGTAGTTCCACAACCCTACCATTTACAACAGGAATTAACCCCTTGTAGTCTGGAGAGCCCCAGTAGAACAAGAATCTGCATCAAATACAAAACAGAACAGAATTTTCTAATTCATATTCGAGGGAAACAAGTTTGTAAAGATTTTTAATGAGTCATAGTTAAAGAAAACATCACAATCGAAACATGAATTTTATTTATTCATTTATTTATTTTTGTAATTGCTTCTCTGTTGATGGCTCAGAGAAATGAATACAGAACTGTCTGAAAGGATCCCCTTTGGCCCAAATATTCCCTTATGCATGTAGGATGTGAAAGGTTAACCAGTAAGCATCACCCTTAAAGGGTGCCTGCCACACACAGGGGCACTCCAGCCTTCCTAGAGCAACCACTCTCCACAGCAGGCTCAGGCGTGCCACAAGCAGGGTCTACGCAGGCTGGGCTGGAGTAGCCCCTGCCTACATTGGAGTGGGCACTCCAGCCCAGCCAGGCTGGAGTGCTCCCCCACCTATCCCTTCTTCAATCAGTTAACCCGATAAACATTACATTTAATACTTAACTAGTTACACAGGATTTTACATCCCTATATGCATGGAACTTATTCATATTGGTTCTCATAGAACCATTTCATATTGTTTGCTGAAAGAATAAAGTCTTGTGTCTGATCATAACTACTTGTGGGGCCTTGGTCAAATAATTTAATTACTCACTTGTTGTGGTCTCTGACATCACTAGGTGTTGTGAGGATTGATTAACTTAGCTAGAGTGGTCTGTGAGTGACAAACAGCTAAGTACTACTACTTCTTTGTGCTGCATATAACAATGAAGACCCAGTACCAGTTGTGAGTTTCTGAGGCTATGTCTAGACTACAGAAAAGATCTACGCTGTGACAGTCAATCTTCCAGTGTTTGATTTAGTGGGCCTAGTAAAGACCCGCTAAATCAAATACTGAAGGTGCTCCCATTGATGCCAGAACTCCTAATCCTCGCAAGGAGTAAGATAAGTTGATAGGAACATTTCTTCCATTGACCTCCTACTGTGAGGATGGCACTGAAGCTTGACTTAAGGTATGTCAACTCCAGCTATATTTTCACATAACTGGAATTGCATACCTTGAGCTGACCTTCAACTGTACTGTAGACTTGGCCTGAGCAAATGTTTGAAGGGATGTTTCCCTTTGCCCCATTTTTTTTTTTTTTGGTCATTTATCTTCTGTTCCCACACAGCTTCCCATATAGAAATATATTTACCTTTGATGTTGTATTTGATGGCAAACAGTTTGATTTCCTCGCTGAAGCTCATGTACATGATTCTGTAATAAAGTACATTTCTTGTCAGGGATCCAATATGAATAAATTACTTAGTAAAGTTGAGTGCACGTAACAGTGAATCAGTAGTGTATTGTGTTTTCTTCCTTTACAGTCTTTCCTGCAGGAATTTTGCAGCCACCTTTCTTCAGTGCCTCTCAAGCCAAATCATTGAATTACGGTGGCATTGGTATGGTCATTGGCCATGAAATCACTCATGGATTTGACGACAATGGTAAGGGTCAGGGTTTCTATTGGATAATCCTTCTTGAGAGCATTATATTAGGGACTGCGTATTTTGCAGTTTAGTCATTCAAGGTAGCTGTGACTGGCCCTAATGGTGTTATGTCGGGGCCTGGCGGGACTTGTTGGCTCCATTCATACAATGCCTGCCCGTACCCCAGCTAGTCTCTCCCAAGGACTACGGGGTAAACTAGGTTGGGTACAAGAACCACCCTACACACCCACTCCTGTTGACCGTCTCCTATCATTACCTTTGTCATGTGGTATTCCCTCATGTCCCTGTGTATGCATTGCATTTGCACAGGGGCCCCACCCAGCTCGGGGTTGGGGACTAAGTCGGCCCTCACAAGGGTTTGCTAACCCCCGGAATTGACTAACGCATGGGCCCAGGTACTCCCTATCACTACCCGTATGGTAATTTGGTCCTGTTCTTGATGTTTAACCCCTGCTCCAGCTCCTGCTTTTCCCTCAGCCTATTCCCAAAGCCCCTTGTATTCTAAAGGCCCAGAGCCCTGGAGCTAACATGGCTCATGCACTGCCCTGGCCTACCCCCTTCTAACCGAGGCCTCATCCCTTTCTGGGAGCACAGAATCACCCCTACCACCACCTTGCCCACGAGCCCAGCTTGGCTGTCAGCTCCCGTTTCTGTGATTGCTTCTTTACTGAAACACCTAGTGGCATGGATAATTACACAGTAACGTGTTTTCTTCTAACAGAGAAAGTAATATTTATTGCCCTCTGGGACTGCCTCATCAGCTTGTTCTTACATTCATCAATCTGTGCACATGTTGTTGCAGGTAGAAATTTTAACGAGGATGGAGACCTCATCGATTGGTGGACTCAAGAATCAGCACTAAATTTTAAGAATCAGTCTCAATGTATGGTATACCAGTATGGAAACTTTACGTGGGATCTAGCTGGTGGACAACATGTAGGTTATTCATAATTTCTGTGCATACATTGTTGTTTTGAATGAGGCAAACTGAGGGTATGTCTACACTACCCTCCTAGTTCGAACTAGGAGGGTAGTGTAGACATACCCTCAGTTCAAATGAAGCCCGGGATTTGAATTTCCCGGGCTTCATTTGCATAAGCGGGGAGCCGCCATTTTTAAAACCCCGCTGGTTCGAACCCCGTGCAGCGCGGCTACACGGGGCTCGAACTAGGTAGTTCGAACTAGGATTCCTATTCCGAACTACCGGTACATCTCGTTCCACTCCTAGTTCGAACTAGCGGGGTAGTGTAGACATACCCTGAATGTTTAGGGCCAAACCCCACAAATTCTTATTTGTGCGAGCAGTGCTATTCTGGTGTGTTGCCCAGATTATCCCCACTCAGAAAACCTGAGGAAGGAAACTTTGGTGGATGAAATCTCCAAGCTGTCATACATACTGTCTATCCCAGCAAGAGTCAGGGTTAACCACCACCTTCCCCCTCCTCCACCTGGTATAAGACCATGGTTTGAGACTGCAAATATGCACTAACATTGGGCCATGAACCCCTCCTCCCTTCAACTTCCTGGTAGAACAGGAAAGATAGTCTGCTATATTTTTGGCTTCATTTACTTGGAGATGGAGGTAATGTACATCTTAGTCTAAAATCATTAGACTTGCTACTTTCCCTGGCCCATTCAGTCTTTGCCCCTGCATTTTCCCTCCATTGCTGCAGTCTCCTGTACTCATTCAATCTGGAATTTGCTTAGAGTCTAAGCAAAGCTGTGAGCCATTCAAAGTTCAGTTTGAACAGCTTCATGAATTTGTCCGAACTAGTTTGCATATATTCACAGGCTGTGAAGTTAAGCAAAGTTGGCATTCAAAGAATTGTGGCTCTCTCATAGAGGAGAGGTCTTACATTAAAGGTCTGGATTAAGACTCAGGGTTATGTGAATTACATTCTTGGTTTTGCCAATTTCCTTGTGTGATCTTGTGCAAATCACATAAACTTTTTTTGACTCCAGTCCCCATCTGTAAAAATAGAATATCACTTCCCTATTTCATCAAAATGACAGAATGAATTTATTAATATTTATGAGGCACTCAGATATCACCACAGAAAAGCTGTAGATAAATAACTGTTAAATCTTATGTATCTGCAATCCAGGTTTGGAATGCATACATTTGCATGAGTTTGCACATAGTTTGGTGGTTCACTAGAACAGCAGCCATATCCTGTGACTTCTCCCATGTAACTTCTCCCAGGGTGTGTCTAGACTACATGGCTCCATCGACGGAGCCATGTAAATTATTTTATTCAGCATAGTCAAAGAAGCGGGGATTTAAATAATCCCTGCTTCATTAAAATAAACATGGCCACCGTGCTGTGCTGACGATCAGCTGATCCGGCACAGCGCGGCAGTCTAGAAGCAGCACAGTCGACAAAGGTTTCCTGAGGCATACCGGAGCGATCGACAAAGGCTTCTTTTGTTGACCACACCGCATCTAGACTGCCGTGCTGTGCCGGATCAGCTGGTCATTGGCACAGCGCAACGGTCATGTTTATTTTAATGAAGCGGGGATTATTTAAATCCCCGCTTCTTTGACTATGCCGAATAATTATTTTACATGGCTCCGTCGACGGAGCCACATAGTCTAGACACTCCCCCAGTGAACCCCCTTCGAACTAAAAATACACCAAGTAAAGCATCCTCCTAACCAAACAGCACAAAAAAAATGTTGATGCAGGAAATGCCCTAGTAATCTAGGCTAGTTGAACTAGAAAGACTTTAATAACAAATGGTCTGGTAGCACTTTATAGACTAACAAAACATGTAGATGATATCATGAGCTTTCATGGACACAGCCCACTTCTTCAGATGACTGTTATGAGTTTAGGAAGTTCAGACCCAAAATAAATAGGAGAGGGAAAGGGCAGGGGGAGGGAGGAAAACGAGGAGGGTGGGAGACAGGGAGCTAGAGGGAATCAGTAAGTATCTGAAGATTGGGGAGTTAAAATGAAGCAGATAAGAATCAAAGTCAATTGATAGTATCCTTCCTGACATAGGAGTCTACACAAAAAGCTGTTTGCACCTTCATCAGCTATTAAGTTGTTAGTGCTCCAACCAACTGTCATCACGATTGAGTCCATTAGCATATGAATTGAATTTGCGGATTAACTCTAATTCCAATGTTTCTCTGTGTATCTGGCTAGTAGAACTGGTTTGTGACAAGACAGCTACTTGAAGATCTTTTAAACAGTGATTAGGAAGATTAAAGTGTTCCCCAATAGGTTTCTGTATGTTTCCTTTACGTATATCTGATTTGTGTCCATTGATTCTTTCCCGCATAGACTGTCCAGTTTGTCCAATATATATAGCAGTGGCGCATTGCTGGCATTTGATGGCATAGATCAAATTACTGGATATGCAGTCAAATGACCTTTTGATTTGGAAGCTTATGTTGTTGGCTCCAGTGATGAATTCGCTAGTATAGATATGAGGGCAGAATTGGCATCGTTTTTGGTTACAGGGCTGGGTTCCTGGATGCTTATGATGTGGCTGAGGGTTGACTTTGAGGGTCTCTGCAGTTCCAAACTTGCGTTTCTCCTATTTCAGAATTTGAGTTACAATGCTCTTTCACCTGAAGTTTCTGCTGGGCTGCCTGCATTCTCGGGAGACAGCTTGTAAAGACTGGTACTGCACTAATGTGGTTTTCAGTTTGAGTTCCTGTTTCTTTCACAAAGAAGGTCACAAACAGCAAATGAGCATGAGCCTCTGAAACACTGTTGATCAGTGTCAAGGAGTGTGTTCCCCCTCAGCATTGGGGCCGCCTCGCCAGATAATGTCCCCACACGTCGGCCCCTCTGTCCAGTCTCTATAACCTTCTACTAGGGTATATACAGCCCTTGAGGCCTAGTCACCAAAAAAAGCCTCTCCTGGCCAGGAAGTCATTTGTCCAGGGTACGGAAAAGAGTAGAAGGGGGACCCAGGCCCTCCCTCTCCACCGGTTCCCAGCCAGTGCCCTTCAGGCAGAGACTATTGCTCCTGCAAGCTCGGCGGGAAATCCAGCGGGCACTCCTAGCTTTGCTCCGGGTCGGCAACAGGCTGCAGCTCTGGCATCAGCTGCTACAGAAACACGGAGGGAGTGCGGCCTGATCTACTCCTTCCCCCAGCTGCCTCCCTACCTGGAGAGCTCTCTCCTTTTATATTCTGGCTCTGCTGGGAGCATGCCCAGCAGAGCTGGATGGGCGGGGCCTTCTCAGCCAGGTGGGCCTGGGCTACTCTCTGCCCTTCAGTGCAGGGCCTGTCTGCCCCGTCACAATCAGTAAGGGTGCAGCTACACAGCAGCAACATTTCAGAAAAATGGCCATTATTCCGAAATAACAATGCGAGCTGCTACACAGGAATTCCATTATTTTGAAATAAATTCAAAATAATTGACGGCTTATTCCAACTTCTGTAAACCTAATTCCACGAGGAATAACGCCTATTCCAAAATGGCAATTTCGAAATAGCAGTAGTGTGGACGCTCTGTTGCTGCTATTTTGAAATAGCTCCTCCCCAGGGCCATTCAAAGTAATTACTCTCCAGTGCCTCCTGGGGCTCTAAATCAAGGTAGCACGTCAACATTAGGGAAGCCTGCCTCGGTCTATTTTTGAGGCTTCCCTGTAGCATTGACGTGCTATTTCAAAATGCGCTATTTTGGAGTATTTCTTCTGGAATAGCTTATTTTGAACTAAGCATACAGTTAAGATGTACCCTCAGTGTGTGGAAGGTGTTTACAATAGTACTCAATTCCCTTGTGGAAGGCCATTATTTACATTATCTTGTTTGTTTTGGACTTCTCCAGATAACCACAGGCAGTGTTCAGCAGTGCTGAAAGCTATTTGTATAATGAGCAGAATTTCAATAGGAGGGAACCTCCTGCTGCAAGTGGTGAATAAGGAGTTGGATCTTTCATTCTTACTGTCCCCTTGTTCAGGAGCTTCAGGGGGTAGCCGAGTTAGTCTGTTACAGAAAAAAAATAGTCTAGTAGCACTTTATAGACTAATAAAACATGTAGATGGTATCATGAGCTTTTGGGCACATCCCACTTCTTCAGATGACCGGAGTTATGAGTTTGGGATATGAAAACTCGAAATAAATAGGAGAGGGAAAGGGGAGGGGGAAGAGAAAGAAAAAGGGAAGGGGGTGGGAGACAGAGCATCATTAAGTATCTGGAGAATGGGTACTTAAACCTAAGCAGATAAAAATCTAAGTCAGTAGATAGATTCCCAAGACAGGAAGGATGCCACTCAGAGAGCTGTTAGCACCTTCAGTGGTTATTAAGTAGGTAGTGTCCCAAACAACCTTTGTTGACAGCTGACAAGTCGGTTCATTACCATACAGAACATGCAAGAGATGAACTCCTGTGCTGAAGTATTGTCAATCTAATAGTTATATCAATACAATCTCCAGAATCATTTTAAAAGAATCATTTGAGGGAAAAATAGTGCAGTTTTTTTCCTGATTTGTATCCACCCTCAGACCTAAATCTAACGATGAGTTGTCATTTTATGACCTCAGATTTCAGGCAGTTTTGGATTAGGATTCAATAAAAATAAAGAGCCAGGTTCTCCACTTGCATAGCTCCATTACCTTTAGTTTTACTATTTTGATTTACACCCACTGAGGATCTGTCCCAGAGTATGGATTAGAACATGAAGTTAAGGGACTATCCTGTTTGCTTAATATCCAGCAAAATTCCTAGTCAGGTTCCAGCAGATTTTCCAGTTTCTTTCAACATCATGAAGTCTGATTCTTCCCTGCTTCAGGAGTTTCCAGTGTACTTTGGCCACCCTTAGCCTGGAGACCATGAGCACAGATGGCAAAAGCTACACTGAGCCCAACAGAATTATCCAGACCCACAGTTGGGACAGTAGCAAAAGTAAAAGGGATGAGCTTGAGAGAGAGAAGAACTTGGAGTTTAAGGACACCAAGGACAAGAAAGACTAAATTACTAAGCAGACATCAGAAACTCTAGGCAAGAGAGACATAAAATGTTCATTGTATCGAAAGGGTGGGAAGTGGGATTTGGAGACAAGGGAGGCAAAGAATGTTCAGATGCATTAATGTAATCTTCTGTTAAATGTTTAAATTTGGGGGGGCTTGTTTGAAACTTCTGCCATTCACTTGGCTCTGCTTTGGAACCTGAGACACTAGCGGAAGCCAAAGTGAATAAAGAAATAAGAGAAATGCCAAAGTTTAGCACAGTAATTCCTAAGATAAAGAAGCTTTTCCTGAGAGAAAACTTTCAACTTTCTCATTTCTCTTTGCAGCTGAGTGGAATCAATACTTTGGGAGAAAACATTGCTGATAACGGAGGTGTTAGACAAGCTTATAAGGTGAGAAAAATCCATTTTCTCTCTGTCCTCACAGTTGAGATTATTAATGTTGAAACAAATGTATTAAAGTGCCTGACGAGAGCGGTTTTTATATGACAAAGGCAAAGCAACACTTTACTGTGATTCTCTGACATCTAGCCAGCTTCTAAAACAATGGAAACTTTGTTACCTTTTGTTCAGTATATTACTTGTTTTGGGGGAAGCGATTCTCTATTCCCAGGCCTCATTCATGTATTATTGCCCATTATAGATCTCTCTAGCTCTCTCTCTAACTATAGCTGGTTGGGAATACAGAATGTGTAGAATGCAAACATATTGTGAATCAGTGTCACACAAACTTTAACCTGACTGAGCTATCATATTGACCTGAAGTCTATGTACATCCTTTCACCAGCATGCTGTTTATGACTGGCAGAGAAAAATAAAGTAGTTTTCCAAGCTCCACCCACAAAATAGCTCCTGCCCACATGGGACATCTTTCACAGTAAATCGCTCAGATATTCAAAATCCAGGCCCACTTGTTCTCAAGGCTTGATTCCCCCCCTTACTGGGGTCCAAATACACCAGTCTGCTCAATGGGCTGCTTGTGCTAGGGTATGCTTTGGTGAGTGCTCAGATGACTTGCTAGGTTCTTGAAGGCTTCTTGGGTTTGAGATGGGAAAGTGGCAATATTTTCCCCGTTCCATTCTAGCAGCACCACCATGATCTGTCTGTTACAGCAGATGATGTAGAACCTCACCTTATGACCCTCTCTTTCCTTTTCTACTTTGATCAGAGTGAAATATTTCACCATGTTGACACAAAGTATAGCACCCATGGGGACAATGGGGCAGGTCAGACCTCTGAATGATTGTTTCTTGGACTGTAGATATAGACATCAACTGCATCAGTTCGGAAAGAGGAGCTAGTAGGCCATACTGCTAGATATAAGCTCAATCCAAACCCTGGTTTAGAGGACTATTTGTGTGCAAACAAGCCAGCACAAATACACAGGACCTTGCCCTACCTCAAGTCAATGAGAGGCAGAGCAAAACTAGTACAGGAATTCTAGCAAATCAGCAGTATTACCAAGAAGGACCTGTGTCTTCAGAGTTACTGTGATATCACAGTATTAGAAATATGTGAAATGAGCAAGTGTCACTTGATGACAACAGATATTCTATAAGATCTTTGGTTCAGGGAAAAGTTGTATCACTTCTGCTCATGAACACTTTTTCTTCTTTTCAAAATAAAAAGAATACACAAACTAACAAATCAACGTAATTCCCACCTGGAAAATGGCCTGCATTTTCAAAATTTTCACTGGGGAAAACTTTCTTTTTTATAAAGAAATGTTAGTATTTGTCACCACAAAATCAGTTTTACACCAGAGTAGGTACGAGTCAGATTCTGATCACTTACAGTCTAGATATGGAGTAAGGGTAGTGAAGTTACTCCACATTTATGTCATGTAAATTAGACCAGATTCTGATTCAATAGACTTTGTAACTGAAACAATTATCATAATTCCTGTGGTGATTAGCCTATGGATTTAATTAAATAACTTAACATTACTGACATGCCTAGAGAAGACAAAGAATTTTGGAAACAAATAACACGTGTGTGTGTGTATTGTGTGAAATTGGAGACGATGGTGATTTTTGCTGCAACTGAAACTTGTTTCCCTCACAGTTGCTCTGATGGTGGCACCTTGGAAAGACTAAGCTAGGAAGGTTAGCTGATTAAATAGTTTACCAACGTCTCTGTTCATACATTAACCATTCTGGAGGCAGATAGTGCCCCTTTGAACCCAGGCACAGAGAGGGCTCGGTCCACTCTGAACTGGTGTCCAGGCACCTAGCCAGCAGACCTTACTCTGCATAGTGCAGGGTCCAGGTGGTCTGAAAGGAAGAGGGGGTGGGTAAAATGAACATCATCCCCCTATACTGCTCTCATGCGCTATAATTCAACATGACATCAGGCCATCAGGCTACTGAGGGTCAGATTTGTTCTCTAGGGCCTGCCAGATTTGGAAGATGGCTCCTCACTCTTTTCTGTGGAAGTTCAAGCCTTTCTGGTCACAAAGAGATAATAAGAGCAGGGCTTAAATTCATCTAGAGCTCTGGCAAATACTTTCAACCCTCCTGGAGATTTTATAGCACATTTGCGGGGAGTGGAGGGTCTGGGAAAACTCTACGGCTGTGTCTACACTGGAATGAATTTCCGGAACTGCTTAAAACGGAATACTATTCCGTTTTCAGTTTTTCCGGAAAAGGAGCGTCTACATTGGCAGGCTGCTTTTCCAGAAAAGCCCTTTTTCCGGAAAAGCGTCTGTGGCCAATGTAGATGAGCTTTTCCGGAAAAGAGCCCCGATCGCCATTTTCGCGATCGGGGCTTTTTTCCGGAAAAGACTACTGGGCTGTCTACACTGGCCCTTTTCCGGAACAGAGTTCCGGAATAAGGACTTATGCCCGAGCGGGAGCAGAATAGTTTTTCCGGAATAGCGGCTGATTTTGTACAGTAGAGCATCGTTGCTTTTCCGGAAATTCAAGGGCCAGTGTAGACAGCTCGCAGCTTATTCCAGAAAAGTGGCTGATTTTCCAGAATAAGTGGCCCAGTGTAGACACAGCCCCCATGAATTTAAGCCCTGGATAAAAGGGAATCTCCCAGAAGTCCCCTGCCATGGTAAAAAGCCATAGCAGGAAACAATCTAGCCCTAATTAGTGATGTTGAGAAAAGAAATGCACTGAGAGTACATGAGAGTTAAATAGGATCTGATCAAATATTCACTAATGTAAAGTTTGCTGAAACGGGGAGGTTGTCTTGCATTTTTTACTATAATTATTGTCACGCAAGCCCAATTCTTCTCCTGTGCATTATTGTTCCTTC